TTGGTGCGCAAATGCGTAATCATACCCTCTCCACTTTCTTACAGCGTTCTAATTACATGACGCGACTAGTAACTACATATAATTTAATATGTAAGCAACACAAAAATAAAACACGTCCATGACAAGAAGTATTAATGCAACGATATTAACTACCCTAGATACAACAACACGAACAAAATCATGGCCGAAACGTGTCCAAAAGGTACATTGGACGATCCACGGAGGTCCGTAAGATGATCGCATGGTCAAAAACAATATAATGCCTTATTTAAACATTGAAAGTCACCTTTAATGCATACGGCATAAGGTCTTAATTAAAATGCATGCGTCAAGTTCGTAAAATTTTACGATTTAGTGTTATATGTGAAAGAATATAGACCTTATTTTTTTTTACTTTTCACGCGCAATTCTGAATGCGCTGTTAACAATATAGCAAGTACAGACCGCGAAGAAAAGAGACGGCTAAGGGCGACGTATAACCGACCATGCATTTGAATATCACAAATATTTTAAATTAAATCAGTTTATAGTAAGTATTACAACAATAAAATTTGCTTTAAAGGCGTTAATTAAAAAACATTAATTAGATACCCGTCGAAAGAACGACACTTTACGTACTATTAGTATTTTTCTGCATTTTTTCACGGAACTCTTTGGCATCTTGACTTTTCAACGGTCCGCGTGTGACTGTGTACTAAGAAGTGCTTGAGTGGAGTTCAAGCACTTCTTGATTGGGACCACAGACTATTTAGATATTGGGACACATTTTGACACGTCGTGGTGTATCTAGGGTATTTAATATCGTTAATTCTATGTCTTTATCTAGGTCATAAACTATGCGCACTTAATTTCATACAAATCCGTTTAACCGTTTTAGCGTGAAAGAGTAACAAATATGCATACAAATTTTCGCGTTTTTAAAATTTTATTAGGATATGTTTGACTTCAATCAAATAAAAACTGTTGGTTGTATACTTATGACATCTATTATTGTATACGATGAAATAAATAGTTTTTATTTATTTTTTCCATTTCCATAGCTGACAAACTTATCAACAAACTTACGCTTTGAGACATAAGCTGCGTCTGAGTCACTAGCAATACACGTGCCGGTGTGAGAGCGAGATAGCATATATGATGTAGCCCATGCGAGAAAGGGATAGTGTAAAAAGACATCAACGCGTTCACCAAAAAATAAATACATTAACAGCAATTTAATATAACAGTATTTTTGTCTTTTTGTAATGCATTTAAACTAACCAGTGAAAAGTAATACCATTTTTTTGAAGACTGGAAGTTGTACTCGACTTTCCACACAATTTAATTGCACAGTACGGCATTTTTTACAGTTTTTTAACACGAAAACGAGAGAAGCAGTTCGACCAACGCTCGGTTACCGAATGAAACGATGTCTGTCTGTCACGTCTGTAGGCGTGCCTCACGCATAGGTAATATACTACTTAAGCTTGGCGTAAGCGCTTGCCCTTGTATGCGGACTCTAGTGGGGGTGCTCCGTGGTATGAGTGCAATGAAAATAACTAGTCCGCCATCTTGGGTGTTCCGCCATGTTGGATTTAGAGTGACGTCACTTTATATTTCGAGCTATTCTCCGCAAGCCCTTTAATTTGATATCGTAGGAAAGCATGAAAAAAACTATTCCGCCATGTTGGAATTAGAATGACACAGCTAACCGTGATTTTTAATCAAAACGTGTATATATACAAAATTTCAGCTCAACCGGTTGAAGATATCTGCTTTAAAATTGAGTTGCAAGATTCCACCCGAACAAACTACAATAACATTAACTATGTTAATGTTTGTATGTTTGTTATGTTTGTTGTTGTTATCGAGGGGAGGTCAAAAAATTCGCGGAATAAGAAGGAAGGAGGTTGAAATTAAACACCAAACTATTTTTCCTTTTCAATATATTCTCCCTTAACCCTAATACATTTTTCAGATCTCTCAAATAATTTGTTTATACCATCGAAAAACAAAATGATTTGTCTTTGGTGTCAAAATAGGCCGAAATTGCGGACGAAAAAAATTGACGACGATGAAGAAGTGAATTCTTCATCGTCGTCAATTTTTTGTCTACGCAACTCTTTCTTCATTTTTGGAAATAAATAATAGTCACTGGGTGCCAAGTCTGGAATGTAGGGTGGGTGGTTCAATTGTTCGAAGCCGCATCGGTGAATGGCAGCTGTCGCAACATGGCACGTGTGAACGGGTGCATTGTCGTGCAGAAGGAGCACACCTTTTGACAGCTTTCCTCTTCTTTTTTCCTTGATGGCTTCTTTCAATCTTTCTAATAAAGAAGCGTCGTACTGTCCCGTTATAGGCACACCACGTTCTTTATAATCGATCAGTAAAATACCTTCTGTATCCCAAAAGACAGTCGCCATGATCTTGCCAGCCGATTGTGTCACTTTGAACTTCTTTGGAGGAGGTGTGCCTTTTTTATGCCACTGCATCGACTCTTGCTTTGACTCGGGTTCATAGTGGTGAACCCAGGTTTCATCACCAGTAACGATTCGGGCCATAACTTTTTCCTTTATCTCTCCACAGAGCTCCAAAAACTGGCGAGAACACTCGACACGCTCGCGTTTTTAAAGTGGTGTAAGCATTCTCGGAACTCATCTTGCACGGACCTTAGTCATCCCAAGATGATGATATAGAATATTCCAAATACTTGTTTCGCATAGTCCAATCATTGCTGCAAGCTGCTTCTTCTTCAACCGGGCATCTTCCAATACAAGTTTTTATACTTTTTCGACGATTTCCGGTGTGGTAGCCTCAATTGGCCGTCCGGAGCGGGGGTCGTCTTCAATGGACTCTCTTCGTTGTTTGAAAAGACCATGCCTCTTGTAAACCATGGTTTTATCAGGGGCAGAGTCCGCGTAAACCGCCAACAGCTCTTGAAAAATGATCTGAGCGGATTTTCCTTGCTTGGTAAAGAACTTAATAACGGCGCGGTGTTCAATTTTCTCCATACTGGCTGACTTCTTCCCGATTCAGTTGATTGCAGTTCGATAATTCAAAAGTTTAAGACACGATTAGGTTCAAACTTGGTATATATACTCTTGATGAGGTGCTTAACTAGTGCCTACCTGGATGAGTAAACCTACCCCCACCAACCCCTCCATTCCGCGAACTTATTATTCCTCGTACATACCTACCTATATTGCAAGTTAATTAAAAGCTTGTAAAAAACCCGACTGCTAATTTTTATTCTTACATAATTCAATAAAAGAATATTATTTTAAACATACAAGTTATATTTATTTGTAAGTCATGGCGTAAAAGGAAATTACCTACAATTTAGGTAAATCTTACTAAGTAGGTACCACAGAACACACTGGGGATAGGTAGGTAAGGTACTCTAGGGATCGTTTCATGCAAACTTTTATTTTCACTTTTATTTGAAACACTTATATTTTCAGGAAATTACATTATTATTATCAAGAAACAAATTACGGTTTTTTAAAATCCGCACAAATCTCCCTATTTTATAATTTTCCAGCTGCCAATTCCTGTCAACAATCCGTCTCTTTTCCAAATTACCTAATAACCTGCCAGTATACACCAAAAAGATCCGATCACTACAATGCCTACCATTTATTACTCTCGTTAATTATTTCATAATGATATTGTTGAATTATTCAATAATGTATGTAGTTAAGTAAGTAGATAGCCTAGTCTAGCGCGTCTAGCGTTTTAACGCGAGTGTATCGTTTGTCTCTTTTTTCACCCTATCCACTTATTTATATATTATTCCAGATATTTTGCCCGATGAAAAATCGAAATACCTAAATATTAAAAACAAATTACGTACTAGTAGATAGGTATATAAAAAAATATTCTATAGTCTTACCTTTCCAATATTTCAGGTAATTTAAAAAATGATATTTCTGTGTGCGTTATTGAAGAGTTAAAGCAACCAAAAACAGCACAATATCGTCTATTGTTCTTTGCCATATTAAATTATGTAGTAGGTATCTACTTAATTCAATCAAATATTTACAATACAAAATCGCACGTTTAAGCACGGCTAACTGCATAAAAAACAATTCACACAGTTCGGTCGTGGAGTCCACCCAGCCCACCGAGAGTCGCGCGAACTCGAGTGGCGTAGGTAGGTATGACTCGCTTTCCGACCGTTTGTATGAAGATAGAATACTGTATAGATAATATTACCGTGATCTAAGCGACGCGACTCGTCATGATTTTCGCCTTGGGAATACCTAACAGTAGGAGTAAATAGAGGTGAATTTGGCACAGGCGAAAACCATGAAACCTGGTATTGAGGATTCGCGCGTCGAATGAGTGGGAATACCTTCATAGTAGGAAAATAAAGATGAATTTGCTATAGACGAAAAACATGACGCGTCGCTTTAACTCTGCGCTAGTATGAATTGAGTCTATCGTGGCGTTCTGGAAACATTACTATTAGTCATTGTACCAAAAGGAAGTTTATATTAACTACGATACGAGCTCTACCCTTTTTACCTCCCTATAAATCTCCTGGTCAAATATTGGGTGAAGAATAAATATAAAGATTTCTCTCAGTATAATTCTTACTTTAGTCATACCCCACATTTTGTATTCAACGACACAAAGTCGTAGTCCAAAAGCAAATGGTAAAAAAGTTCAAAATCGACGAAACCCGTCGCGTCGATAATATTTTCATTATCAGTTTACCCATAGGTTTCTGTTTGTGATCCGGCTTTCTTTTTTTAATCAAATTTTTAGTTACTCATTTATGTTTTATGGGGATAAGATAAATAAAATCACACTAATATTATAAAGGCGAAAGTTTGTGAGTGTGTATGTTTGTTACTTCTTAACAGCTAAACGGCTGGAGAAATTTTAATAAAATTTGGTATGGAGTTAGCTGACACCCTGGATTAACACATAGGCTACGTTTTACTGCGGGAAAATATCCCTAATTGATCGCGGGTAACACCGCGGGGCACAACTAGTGCATAATAATAGTGAATTACCTCGTTCTACACAAAATGTAAGCTTCTTTGTAGAGGTCCGCTTCAACGAGCACTGCCAAAGCACTCTTCACGTCGTGGATGCTCAACAAAGTGGCCACTTTTCGATAAATGGGACCACCGTACTTTCTGTCTTCTGGAACAGGAATTCATTTTGTTACAATCTTGAAATACATTTTTAATTAAAGCTGCTATAACTAGGGTTATTGGACTTGAGTATTTATTATGGTCAATTCATGTTAGTGTAGAGTCGAAGCGAATTTCAGAAACAGTAACTTAGCAATTTCGTCCTTATCTTCGCAACGTAATGCACATATGGGAATAATGCACAGAGGGATCCGAGCTAATATTTAAGCGGAATACGCGCGTATTCCGTCGAATGCACGCGTCGGAATATGTACATTACGGTACGGAGATAATGGTGAATTTGCTTTGTTACGTTTCTGAAATTACTCACTGGATACACTCGGCGTCAAAAAAATTGAACCTCCGTGAAAATAACTTTCAAGCGTTATTAACCATTAACACTCAAATGTACCCCCACCAATATTATTGTCACTTGGAAGTCATTAAATAAACTAAAAAAAAACATTTCATTTCATTAAAAAAAACTCTACATGTGACTTAAAAAAAATGCCAATTTTGCTCCTCAAAAGGGCCACTAGTTGCACTACCTTTAGTGGGTATAAAAGGGTTAATACAGGTTTCATGGGGGGTATGAGGGGACAGCGCACGGATCACGCTGACGTGAGCCCCCCACCACGCATCACACGCATCATGGATACCAACGACTGGATACCGAGTTGCCCCAACCCTCCAGCGGACGCCGGATTGGCCCAGACCAAGGCCCTTTTCGCGGCCAAAGTGATCGGTACGAGGTCGCCACGCGCCCAATATGAACTGGACGCGGCGATGTCGTGCCGATTCATGCAGTCAAGCCTGCTGTCCCAAAGGATGTCAGATTGGATAAGGACCTATATCCGCATACTGGAAGCAGAAGACAGCTCGTTGACGGACTACGGCCCTGACGACCGGCGAATCATCGCGGCATGTAACGCTATCAACTCGCAACCTTTCACGCGCCCACCGCCACGCTTGATCTACATGGAGCCTATCCAGAAGCAGCCGAACCCGACAGAGAGGCAACTTCGCGCGATACACCCGCTCGCCCTTCACCTCAGCCGATCACGCAGCAGCGATGACTCCCTCTCAACCCAGCGGTCGCCATTACCCACCAAGATAACGACCCCGCAGCGATGCAGGATGACCACCACTCCAAGCAGATAACCGCCCCCACTGCCCTAGACCGAGACACAAAACACAGACTGCTTTACCGACGTAGTCGTACGCGCAGGCCGCAGGAAAATCCGCACCTACCCCCAATGCTGCCGAAAAAGATACGCCTACCGCCGCATCACCCATCATCGCAAAGATCGCGCAACCTGCCTCCAGCAGCGCTTTCACACCCCAGCGGGTCCGTAAACACCCGCCGATTGTGATCGAACAGTTACAGGTCTGGCCGAAGCACTTGCGCGCCATACACGAACGACTCGGCCGACCTCCCAGCGTGCGCCCGTTTGGTACGGGCGGACGCTTCCCGCCACAAGACGACGACGAGGGACAGGCCGGACCGAGTTGGTACTCGCACGCCCGCCCAGATGACCGGAGCCTCAAGGTGTTCATCCGCGGGCTACCCATGGACACCCAGCCAGACGACATCGCCGCAGGTCCGGGCTCGAGAAGGCCGCCCCGGCTGCCTGTACTTCACAGCGCTCCGCAGGACCTCAGACACTAACCCGGTCATCTACTCAGTGAGTGATCTCCTGAGCATGTCCTGGATACAGATTGAAGCCTGGAGATGGAGGAAAAGCCCCGCGCAGTGCCATCACTGCCAGGGTTCCGCCACTCCAGTCTAGGCTGTCATCGCCCGCTTGCCTGCGTGCGCTAAGTTGACCCGCACGCCGCCGCCGACTGCCCCCGCCCGCTCGTGCAACACGCGATCTGCGCGAATGGAGAAGTATACGCAAAGCTTGACATAGATGGCGCTGCAAACGCTTGACCCTAACTACAGCCGAATATTGCAGATGTCATATTTTAAACGTGTTTTTTGTTGTGAAAATTATTAAATAAGTGTTGAAAATGTATTCAACATGGTCTGTAATGCAGCTGAAAACAGAGTTGAAAAGGAGAAGCAAGGCAGAAAAGCTAATCTAGTAGAGAGGTACTCTGTCTATTATTATGCTAGAATGCTCATTCTCGGTACATAGATCATTTTCCATGATTATTTTAATAGTTCATGGATCTCAGTAACTTTTAGCAGGCTCATTACTCCAATCTATCTCATTTTTGCATTAGTCAGACATCTCATAGAGTTAGGTTACCTCTGGCTAAAATGGGAAGTATAATATTGGGTTATTTTACAGACTTGAGGCATATGACCGCAATTTTAATTTTGGCGCAGTTTTTTCTGATCAAAATGAAGACATCCAGATGCAATTACCTGCCACAGATACATACCATGATGTAAACATCAGCTCAGTTTTACCCTCTCTTTCAAAGCAACATATAAAATTATATTTTAGTTGGTAAGCATGCAGTATTCTCACAACAACCAGGAACTGCAACAACGCAGCATTTGTAATTTGTTTAATATAAAGCTTAAAAATGAATATAAGCTAATAGGTATGTATTTGATAGAAGTTTTGGGTCAAGCGATAACAGAGCCCCTAGTGGCCAAATTTTGCAGATTTCTTGTCCATTGCAAGGGCGCGCACCCCGCCAATGACAGTTCGTTCCTCGCGGTGAATCGCGGGGCAAGATGAAACCGACGTGCTACGACAGTGGCCCGAACAGGCCGCCCACCTGCCGAACCACCCCAGCCGCCAGTCGAGGTGAGCGAGCTCGCGCCGGCCACGCTAATGGCCCCCGCGAACGTTCCTTCCTCACCCACCGGTCGTCCCAAACGCCACCGAAAACGGAGTCGCCGAGCAAGTCAAGAACCACCGGCTGACGCGCTCCCGCAGCCACAACACCCATCGAAACCAGCCACTGAAACGACTCAAGACCCGCCACCAACTTACGATGACGCACTGCACAAGCTACTCCAATTCTCGGAACTGTTTGCGGATTTTACCAAAAATTCGGCAGTCCGAAAACCTAAAGGCCCGCTCGCAGGTCGCTGGACCTGCCTGTGGACTTACCGCGACCGCGACGTGTGAAGACGTGGAGAGGGGGTAAAGACCACGCCGACCATCCCGTTTGTGAACGGGATGCGAACCCGCATCGTCCATAGTGGCTCACGCTAAAAGGATTCCCCAAACGCCGCGGCGAGATGAAGAAACAGATGCCATAGGGGCTATTCGCTATCCAACCGTTGAAGAAGATACACGAGAAGATCATTCACAAAAAAAACACCTTGAAGATGGATACCACTGCTGATGAAGCCACTCAAGTGCAATCACTACTGCAATCCGAGATGCTGCAGTGTGATGTCGCTCGGCAACTGAACTTGATTTTTCCGTTGTAGACCGTTTTTCCGTTCGAAGAGTATACCAGCGGTTTCTGGAGACCGGTGGCCATGTCCGGAGGCATGGGTCTGGTAAACGTCGCTGCACCTCGGAGAGAGACGACCGATTCATCATATCGACACCTCTAAGAAATCGGTTCTCTAATGATGTTGAGTTGAAATAGCAGCTCCAGGCTGCTCGCAGTTGATCTGCGTTGAGCGGTTTTACGGTTAGCCGAATAATGAGGGAGAAGATAGCGACTCATAGAACTGCTACGGGTCCAAAATTGACCGCAGAGCTTCGGCGAGTCCACTTGCAGTTTACTCGCGACCACGTCAATTGGACCCTTGACCAATGGAAAGCTGTTCTCTTCTCAGACGAGACGTGAGTGTGCCTTTTCTGCAACGATAGACACAGAAGAGTACAGAAGACAGGGGGAAGGTTTCGCTGAAGCCTGGATCTAGGAGACGGTGAAATACGGGGGCAGTTCCTGTATGTTTTGGGGCGGCAAGTCGGCCGACGGCAAAACCGGCTTTGTAAGCGTCTCCCGGACTGAAGACTGATCACCGGTACGTCACAGAGATCCTGGAAGAGCATGTGGTCCCCTATGCCCGTTTTGTTGACGAGAGGTTCACACTGCATTAATTGTGCGCGACTTTCAAGAGGTTGGGATATGTCATGCAGTGGCCAGCGAGAAGTCCAGACCTGAATCTAATTAGTTCGGTCTCGTGATCCCACTCCCACGACTCTCCAGGAGCTTGAAGAGGCCGTTATTGAGGAATGGGGCAGTATCCTTCAAGAAGAGCTCTTAAAATTGGTAAGATCCATGAAGAAACGTATGTAAGCCATCATGCGGGCAAGGGGGGTAAACTAGGTTTTAGGTTAGTTTTAAGAACCTTTTTGTAGTATTTTTTTGTGTTATTAATCTGTTTTTAATTAGGGCTTAATTAAGGATTTTTATTGTTTTGTAAACTTTATTGTTTTTTGCACTGTTCCAATAAACATAAATTGAATCGTTTTTTTAAGTTTATTTAATGGGCTTTCAAATGACACCAATATTTTCGTAAATGCGTGTGTTAAGGGTTATAATAACGCTTGAGTCATTTTCGCGATTTTTTTTTGACGCCGAGTGTATTAGGCTTATTTGTCTTTATTCAATTAATAGAGCGCCGCGCCTCCGTTCGATGTCTACTAGGGACTCGAACAAACTAAAATATAATATTCGTATGAGAGACTTAGAACAGTGCAGCGTATACAAAGATTACAACAACTTATGTGTTTTGTTGCTTTGATACTCCTTGATGACTTTATTGTACTCCTGAGGTACCTTTATTTATTTTTGTTCTATTTTGTTGAAATTTGCTTGGTAAATTTTAATCCATTCAGCCTCTTTTTAAGGTATTTATAATAGGCCTTAATATACCAGCAAATATTTTAGACTAAGACTCGCGTAGTTTAACACTAGTGTACGAGCAAGCGCGTACGTTGCCGACGCAGCGTTTCTTTATTAACCTAATTTACGTATAATTCATAATTTATTTTGCATCGTTCAGTTCGCATTCCGTCATCAATCATACCACACGTCCTTATTATCGTAATTTGATCGGCGCATATAATTTTCAATGGGCAC